TGAGGCAAGAGGAGGGAGGGGGTGTACGGGATTTCTGGAAGCAAGTCCCACTTAGGCTGCATGACTAACGGGCAGGATAAGACAAGTCTTTCAAGTTCTAATGACTACTTTTGTTATCTGGGAAGATAGCAGACTCGCGTGATAAGAGAGCGTTCTGAGTACTCGGCCTCAAATTCCTCCAGAAGCATCCAGAACTTTTTAGAAGGTAGATGGCAAACTGTCTCCTTACAAGTGTGCAGGGAGGCTGTTTATAAAAGGAGAAATCGGATTCACTTAGATACCGCTAAATAGGAGATTGGTTAAGTTATGGAGTATCCATAAAATGAAATACTATGGAGTTCTTAAAGGCCATGCTTGTAGATGAAAATTGATGTGGAAAAATATTCATGAGGGAATTAAGGAAACACAAGAGGTTACAACATACTGTGTAACGTGAGAGGCCTTTTTGGGGGGAAAACAAGCATATGTGTGTGCATATATACATACATATGCATGCATACACATACATTTATATGCATCCATCCATCCAAATGCACCCACAATGAAAAACACTTCATATTGATAGCATCTCTGGGTCTAGGATTATGAATTTTTTCCTTTTTTTCTTATCTGTATTTTCTTTTTTTTTTTTTTTTCCTTTTTGTCTTTTTTCGTGTCCGGCAACGGATCGCAGCCCTCAGTGTCGCACCCGTACCGGACCGGGACCAGCAACGGGATCGCAACCCTCGGTGCTGCGCCCACACCTCGCTCAGCCAGTGAGTGGGAACCGGTCTGTATGTGGGATCCGAACCCTTGGCGGGAGCGCCACCACGCTCCCAAGCGGCGCACTGTAGCAGTGTGCCACAGGGCCGGCCCCTTATCTGTATTTTCTAACTGTTGTACTATAAACATACGCTGATTATAGAAAAAAGATTAATTTAAAAAAAATATGATGTTCCATGGTATGGATGAACCATAATTCATTTGACCATTCCTCTATGATAATTTAGGTTGTCTTCAATTGTTTTTATTTCTCAACAATACAAAAAGTGCTGCCTCAGACACCCTCATGTACAGGCTATTAGTTTCTAGTACTATTATTACTATGGGATAAATTGCCAAAAGTGGGACTGCTGTGTCTAATAGCATGTGTGTGGTTTAATCTTAATAAATACTGTAAGATGGAGGTGATTTGCCTTTCCAGCAACAGCCAGTTATTTTGCCACATTCACAGTACTAGATGTTCCCAATCTTTTAACTTTTTGCCAGTCTTTTGGATAAAAATAGTATCTCTTTATTGTTTTAATTTGCATATCCCTGATAACCAGTAAGGCTGAATATCTTTTCAAATGTTTATTGCATCTCCTCTTTTATAAATGCCTGTTTTATATCCTTTGAGAATCATTTTTCCCCATGGGTTCTTTGCATTTGTCTTGTCTTTTTTTTTTTTTTTATCTCTTTTTGTTTTAATTTTTAAAAATGCTGAGGGGCCGGCCCGTGGCTCACTTGGGAGAGTGCGGTGCTGATAACACCAAGGCCACGGGTTCGGATCCCATATAGGGATGGCCGGTTAGCTCACTGGGTGAGCGTGGTGCTGACAACACCAAGTCAAGAGTTAAGATCCCCTCACCAGTCATCTTTAAAAAATAAAATAAAATAAAATAAAATAAATAAAAAATAAAAATGCTCAAAAGTATAGAGAACAATATAATGAATCCCCATATACTGATTACTCAGATGCAGAAATTTATTGACTCCCACACATGCTTCAATGGACTGAACATTTGTGTCCCACCCAAATTCATATGTTAAAATCTTAACCCCCAAAGTGATGGTAGAAGATGGGGCCTTTGGAAGGTAGTCAGGAGGGTAGAGCCCTTGTGATGTAATTAGTGTCCTTATAAAAGGTATCCTAGAGAGCTCTCTTGTCCTCTTTCCTCCACATGAGGACACAAGAAGTCAGCAGTCTGCAGCCTAGAAGAGGACCCTCACCAGAACCCCACCATGCTGACACCCTGATTTTGGACTTCCAGTCTCCAGAACTGAGATACAAATTTCTGTTGCTTATGAATCACCTAGTCTGTGGTACTTTGTTATAGCAGCCTGAACTAAGACACCCACTTCAGATATCCTTTTCTTTTCTTTCTTTTTTTTTTTTTTTTCATTTCTGTGAGCATTTTAGAGTAAATCTCAAACATCATGTCATTTTACCTTATATACTTCAGTGTTCTCTTAAAACATGGACATGGTCTAACAAACATAACCACCATGCCACGTTCACACCAAACAAAATTTATAATAATTTTTTGGTGTCCTCTAATACCCAGGACATATTCTGATTTTTTCAATTGTCTCAAAAATGTCCTTTTACAGTTGGTTTGTTTAAATCTAGATTCAAACAAGATGCACACATTGCACTTGGTTATTTCTCTTAAATCTATTTTACTCTAAAAGTACCCCCTCTTTTTAAAATTTTTTTTACTTCGTGCTATTAAGCTGTTAAAGCAACCGAGTGAGTTGTACTGTTGAATGCTCTACGTCCTCATTTGTCTGTTCGCTTATTCATGTTGTCACTTAACTTGCTCCTTTTGTTACAGGAATAAGTGAAACTTAACTGTAAACCATAAATTGGCTCTAAAGGCTTAATTAGATTCCAGTACAATGTTTTTAAATCAGTAATGCTTATAGATGGTGCCATAGAGTTCCTATTGCGTCACATCAGCAGATACATACTGTACAACACTTAGAGATGTTCATATTCCTCAGTGGGTTCAGGTGGGGGCAGCCTGAAGCTTTCACTATCAATTTTCCCATCAACCTTTTACTTTATGGTCTTATCAACTGATGTTCATTGTCTGACAAAATATTTTATTAGGCCTGCAAAATTATGATAATCTAATCCTATCATTTCTTCTAATTTACTAACTGGGTCCTTCTGTAAAGTACTTACCCTCATGAACCATGGCTATATGGTTACTCTGAAGTACAATTCATGTAGGAAGGACAGGATAAATGCTTAACTCTCTTAGTTGACAGTTTTTAGAGCAAAGAGTTGGTGCCTGGGGCGGATACAACGATGTGCCAGCCCATCTCCCACTTCAGTAAAGGATTTGGCTGAGTTGCTGGGAGAAATAGTCACAGGCTACCATCAGCTGTTACCCCTTCAGGAATTACCTCAGGTACTCTCCACCTAACTTAGGGTCAGGTAGTGGATTGAATTATAACCCACCAAAACTTATTGATGCTTGAATTGTGTCCTCCAAGTTTTATGTACTAGAAACTTAGCCCCCACTGTGACTGTTAAGAGGGTGAGGAATCCTATTATGATAGGAGGAGGTGGAGCCTTCAAGGTGGAGCACTGAAGAGTTGATTGGATTGTAGGACCGTGCCCTAGTGAATAGATTAAAAATGGTGGTCAGGGGCGTGGTTCTGAGGGCTTTGAAAGAAAAGGAGAATCTGTCTCTCTGCTCTCTCTGCCTCTGCCAACAGGCCTTTATACCCTGACTTTGGTCAGTTGCTATGGGCTGCCCCATAATACTGTGTGACTGTTTTGGTCCGCTTTTGTTTCTTATAACAAAATACATAGAACTGGGTATTTTATAAAGAAAAATGAAATTTATTGCTTACAGTTTCTGAGGCTGGGAAGTCCAAAGTCCATCTGGTGGTGGTGACAGTGACCCAGGGGTCTCACATTACAAGATAGTGGAAGCAGAGCGAGCAGAGAGCAAGACAGACACTCCTCTCTTCCCAGCCTCAGAAACTGTAAGCAATAAATTTCATTTTTCTTTATAAAATACCCAGTTCTATGTATTTTGTTATAAGAAACAAAAGCGGACCAAAACAGTCACACAGTATTATGGGGCAGCCCATAGCAACTGACCAAAGTCAGGGTATAAAGGCCTGTCTCAGCCCAACTTGGGACAATTCTGAAGGGTCATTCTAACTCCAGATCTCTCTGTGGGGTTGGCCGATATTGTTTTGGGGCCTACATTGCAGCTCAACCTCCCCCTCTGCCCACACCGTCTTTGTTCCACAAGTATTAATCCCAAGAACACCTCTTAATAAGCACCCTGCACGCTAAGCTCTGTTCTGGAGTGTTTCTTGGGAAAGTCAAATTGTGAACCTTGAAACCGGGAGTGATCCAAGAAAGCCAGCATTAAGATCATATTTGGGAGCTAGATCACTCACTGCTTAGTTGTCAATGAGGACCACATCACAGGGGGTAGGTGAAGCATAGATAGCCCCTGCCACAAGGTGGCAGTGCTATTATTGTTAAAACTTCCACAGGTGGTGAATTGGGATGATATACCAGTAGAAGGGAATGTATTATCTGGTGTGATGTATCGAGTGCTTGAGAAATATGGAAAAAGTAATAGCTATAAGACCAATGGAATCTGGTGGTTATTGAGCTCCAAAGAAGATTAAACTCCCAATGGAGATAGGTCTGCTATGTTAAAATCAGGATGCTGCTTGGGAAAGAAT